TCGAACAAAATCTTCATTAAAAAGTTTATAAATAAAATAATTAAAATAATAAATTAAATATATTTTTTTCTTTTTTCGTGATTTCCTGCGAAACAAAGCAAAAAGGAGCATATGTCTATAGGACTTTTTTTCTTAGTTTTTTACTCCTCTACACGCTCCCGAAGTTTTGCCATTTAATTTGGAAACACCCTGTATATACATATATTATATTTTGCGTTTCTATATAAGTATAAGATTTTTAAGTTCAACAAGTAAAACTGTATAATATTGATGAAACAATTATATTATTATCTTTATTATAAGATGTTTCTTGAAATTTAACTTTTAATGTTTTTGTTTACAAAGATTTGAAACATGATTATATGAATTTTATTAGAAATTTATTATTTTACAATTTTTAAGTGATTGTTTAATTCTACACAAGCACAGTCCGTTTTGTATGTGTGTGTGATATATTATATTAAAATATAATACAGTAAAAATAATTTCAAAATAATTACTGCTTTCTTAATCTTTATGTGTGTGTGTGTGTGTGAAGTGTGTGTGCGTGTGCGTGTGTTCATCATTTTAACGTCAAAATAACGTTAAAGATGTCATTTTGTTGGCAAAATGACGATAAACAACATCAACTTCCCATATAGCACAATTAATCCGAGGAAAGTCCTGGGAATGTCCTTGGGACGAAGGATGTTGTCTTTAGGACATCCGTGGAAAATTTGTGCTATGTTGTTTTGTATGTTAAACATCCTAAAAGATATTTTAAGACATCTACTGGATAAAGACAAGATGAAATTTGGTCATACAGAAACATCCTAATGATATCTAAACGATGATGTCCTATGGACGTAGAATAAGCGGACATAGAAACATCCTCAATATATCCTAAATACCTCCTAAGTTTTTTTAGGAATGTACTCTGGATGTTCGAAAATCCCTCGACATACATCTGCAGGATGTACCTAGGATACATTTTTGCTGTGTGAATTCGACCGTGACCAAATTTTAGTACGATGCGTGAATTTGTACATTTAACAATATGGATGTGTCCAGAGTACACGTATTACAGGTAACCTCAATTTACAGTACATGACATGTTCTTCGTTTGACTTTCGTTTCTTGAAATTAATAATAACAATAAATTTATCATTATTTTGTATTAGAAAAGAGTAATATAATCGTCATTAAAATGAAGCGTGGTGGATATAGTTGTGCTATGAATAATTGTTCAAATAATATCAGTTTTTTTTATTTTCCAAAAGATCCAGATAGGTAAAAATATTTTTCGTTATCAAGTTTATTGTTAATTAAATTATATATCAAGTGTTTTCAGTAATATTTTATACAAAACGTATTTCAGAGGAAAATTGTGGTTGGAAAAATGTAATAATAGCAAAATTAACACACCAGAAAATTTGCACAAAAATTATAAAGTTTGTGGTAATCATTTTAAATCGTCAATGTTTTTAAACGATTTGAAAAACAGACTTCAACCACATGCAATCCCCGAACCTATAAGAAATGATAACGATCAATCAAGTGAAAATAATGCAACATCCAATTTGAGTGATAAATCTGAAGAAAATACATTAATATCAGGTAGGCATTTTGAACTTGTTAAAAATATCAGAAATTTGGAACACATATAATTATTATATTTTAGTTGAGTGTAACATCATTAAATGTAATTGTGTTAAACAACTATTTAAAACGAGATTTTCAAACAAGGTTGAACAATCAGTATCAGATAATAATTTTAGTTCAGTATGGAACTAAATAGTAATAAAAGTTTCAATGAATTAGAAATTAAAATTTATATGTAAAATTTATGTTTTCACAATTTATGTCTTTTGTTTCTTGTTCATTGCTCGTTCTTTTCTTGAGATAAATACAATAACTATGAAACATGAAACTAATTTTTTGAGTTTTTTAATTGATTTAGTACTTTTCAATATTACAGATAATAACAATAATTTGATAAGTAACGTGCATGAAGAGGACCATGTTGAATCAGTGTTGCATGTGCAACATCAGTACACTCAAACAGAGTCAATGATTTCCAATCATTCCCCGCGCAAAACTATTTTGAGAGGCCGAATTATAGCATTACATCGAGAAGTTCGAAAATTAAAACGACAATTACAACGGCAGACAAATAATATAAAAATTTGTGCGAGGAAAATTTCCTTAGAAGAATATTGTGAAGTTACAAACGAATTTTTATCACCACAAGTTGCAAATTTTGTGAAAACTCAAGTACGACTTAATAAATATAAGTCAGCTAAAGGACGAAAATATTCGCTTCCATTTAAAAAGTTTTGTTTAGATATTTTGTTATGTGGGGGAAATAAGACTTATAATTCTTTTGCACAAAAGTTTATCCTTCCTAATGTTAGAACTTTACAACGCATGATTGAACATTTGAAATTTTCTTCAGGTTTGCATGATTTTGTTTTTGATTTCTTGAAGGAAAAATTGAAGTGTTCTTTGTCATCTCTTGATAAATATTGCATTTTATGCATTGATGAAGCATCAATTAAAGCAAATCTCTATTATAATATTAATAGGGATGAAGTCATTGGGTTTGAAGACTTAGGAGATAACAAATTATTTCTTTCAGCATGTAACGTTGCAACCTTAATGATCCGAAGGATTTGCACCAATTGGAAACAACCTTTAGCTTACTTCTTGCTTAATTCTTCATTTTCTGCTAGAAAATTAATAATCATATTCCTCAAATAATTGCAAAACTGCAAAATGCAGGATTTAAAGTACTCGCGCTTGTCTCCGACATGGGAGCGAATTTTAAACAAACTGCTCAATATCTAGGTGTAACAGACGACAATCCATTTTTCGTTGTTAATAACGAAGTAATTTCTCATTTCTTTGATACGCCTCATATAATAAAAGCTGTTAGAAATAATTTCCATGACAATATTATTGAGTACGATTCTAAACCGATTTCTTGGGAGTGCGTTAATTATTTATTTCAACAAGATAAAACTAGACAATTTCGACTTGCACCTAAACTCTCTGATAAACATATAAAATTTTCGAATTTTGAAAGAATGAAAGTAAATTTGGCAACGCAAATTTTGAGCTCTACAGTGAGTAGTAGTTTGAGGAAAATGGTAGGTTCTGGAGATTTTAAACCTGCAGATGCAGAAATTGCACTTAGAACAGCAGAATTTATTCAAAATGCGAACGAGAGAGAGAGAGAGAGAGAGATTACTTTGATCTATTTAATTCTTCAGTTCAACATCCATCACAATTTCAACAAGCTTTTCGGGGTGCGCAATATCAATTAGAATTTCTTTCAAAAATCAAAGACTATATATCCAAATTAACGATATTTAATAAATCTGGTGTAAACATTTCTAATAAAGTTAAAGTTTTCAAATGCATGACACATAATATAAATTCTCTTCTTAAAATGTGGAAATACTTGCAAAATGTTTCTCCAGAAATTGAATTTTTATTATTACGCCGTTTTACTCAGGACTGTTTGGAACACTTTTTCTCTGATATTCGAGGTTTGAATGGCAATGCTTTTAATCCTACTTCCATTCAGTTTTCCAATTCATTCAAAAAACTTTTCTCTATAAAATATTGTACAGTTAAAACTGGAAATTGCGAACGAGACAATACTGAGATATTTGCAGCTATTACAAACTTTAGAGAGAAGAATAATATGGATGTTGAATCCAAGACAGATGATATTAAACAAATACTTTTGGATGATCATGATTATCGTAAGATGGACGTAAATGAACAAGATGTGTTTCGATATACATGTGGATATTTAATACGTAAATGTATTAAAAAACATTCGTGTGAGATTTGTCTACAATATGCACGCTCATATATAGATTTAAATCAAACGTCATATTATTGCTTTTTTAAGGCTTACAATTCTACTAAAAATAATCCTTTTGGAAGCTTATTTATGCCGAACGATGATTTCGTAATGTATATTAAAACATTAGAAGATTTATTTTATTCGAAAATTGAGGAATTGATCATACAAAAGCATGTAGTTTTTAAACTTATTAACACTTTCAAAGATGTTCCATTCAGTCATCCGTGTCAACATTTTTCTTATGATTACTTATTGAAATTATATGCTTGTGTACGACTATTTTACACATTAAAATTTATTAACAGGAGTTTTAAATCGCAGCCCGGATACAGAAAAGCTATCATTTTACGTCACAATTAGAATTCAGTATTTCTTTCTTTTTTTCTCTTTCTCTGCGTTCTTTCTGTGTGTGAATGCGAATTATTATTAATACTTTTATAAAAGCAATTGCGTTTTTCAAAATTAATTTTATTGTTAATATTTATATAATTATATTTTATTATTAAAGTTATTATTTTATTATTAAAGAGAAATATATTTGAGATTTTATAAAAATGTATATATTCCGTGTGTGTTACCTGCTAAAATAATATAGTCATAACATTATCTGTATTGTTGAAAACTAATTTTTTTGCCTATTTATCCATGCTCATACAGCTTATGCATGCTCATACATGTTAATTGTCTTGTTAAAGGTACTTTCGATGGATTGCCATTGCCTGTCGACAGATAGTAATCAATTAAAAATTTGATATGTAAGTGGATTTGAACTTGTATCTTTGGCACAGACAGTAGCCGCGCAACTTCTTAACGTTATAATCGCCAATGATAGTGAATACATTTTATGATATTATATATTATTTTTTAGGAATTATGAATTTATTTATTACATTTTCATAAATGTTGTTTTATACATTCACGTCGTGCGAATAATTCGCACGCTTATACATACGCACTATGATATCACTGTACATTTTGTTATCTGGTTTGGGACATTTACCTTATATTATTATGATTAATGATTATACAGGGTGTTTGGTAACGACCGCAAAATATTTCGTGCGTGGGTAGAACAGATTACACTGAGTCGAAAAGTCCTGTACCATTTTGCGGTGTCAACAATAGTTAAGGAGATATTAACGTTTAAAGATAACCGAATAAGAGCGTCCGGCCGGCCTATTGCTGCCGAATGTATAACCCACCGATCACGGGGAGTGGGGCAAGCACCCCGCTGACC